CACACAATCTTAGCATTGTTTCTAAGATGTTACTAACCCTTGACTGTGAAATATCAGCGAAGAGAAATGAGGCATTGGGGTTTCAATTTGCCAAATGTGAGAGGTTATAAAAACAATTTTTCCTATTTATGAAGAAAATGTCCTTCAAGAATAAGAAGTCAGAAAAACTGGCACATTTAGAAACAGGAGCAGTAGAAGTAACGTTTTTTATTAACTTTCAAGGTCATTCTATTTCCTGTTTTTCCCTAACCTTTATCAGAAAAAATAGTCATTGCTTCTCACAAAACTATTTTACAGCTTTTACATTTATTTCATAATGCTAAATTTAACTTGGAAATGAAGAGCAATGTCATTACTGGAATTTATTTAGTTGCCTTTTTTCTTGCCTAACTTTGGTCCTGTAAAAATAAGACTTCTAGTCTAAACTAGTCAGCTAGGTTTTCTTTGTAGTCAGTGAAAGGAGACAGGCACCTCTAGAAGAGCAGTGTGGCTTCCTGATCCTCGATACTTCTATAGAGATTGGATCACACAGCTTCCCAGTTGTTCAGTTCTGGTCACATGAGCCCAATCAGTTGCTGACAAGCAGTGCAGGTAAAAACAATAGTTCATAGAAAGCAAAAGCCCACTCAGAGTAGTAATTCTACTGAGCGATTATGACCTGATCCTACTTGGCGCTGGATGCTTTCTCTCTTCCTCAGAAGCTAGCTCTTACGTGATGTCACCTATCAAAGTGGCTGCCTTCCTGAACTGTGTCTAAATGGCTCCACTAACTTTTCTCCAGGAGTCTCCTGAAACTTTACCTATTGTTTTTCGCTTGTAAAACAAACAAAACAAAACAAACAAACAAAAAACCCCAAACCCAACACTCAAGCCCATGAATTAGGAAGAGGACAGTCACCCTTCATATACTCATTTTGGTAGTGTAGATTAGTAGTTTAGTACTACTGTGGATGTTAAAAATATTTTTACAAAATCAAGGTAATATAAACTACTTTCCCACTATGTTGTTCATAGGAACAGCTGCATTAAAAAAAAAAAGAAAAAAGACTCTGAGAAGAGAGAAATGAGGAGAAAAATAAAAAAAAGTCCCCACATTGTTAACTTTTCTTTCAATACAACAGCTCTGAAAGGGGGGAGAGAGGGGTTAGGTTCTGCTAAATTCATTAACCTTGAGAATGTCCATGGAAGTCATTGGATAGGTTACCCAGGACATTGAACCAGGCCTCAAATCTTTCCCAGGGTAAAGCTTTTCCAGCACTTGCAGCATGATGTCAAGGCAAAGCTTTTCCCAAACTTCCTGGAACAGTTACAGGCAAATCACTGGAGAGACAAAAAATATCTGGGGCCTCAGCCAACAGCATTCCTCTATGAATACTAGTATCTCAATTTGCTCTTTATTTTTCTTAATTGGCATTATGCAATTTCAAAGATTTACAGCCAGCTAGACTAGGAAAAATAAAATAAAGCAAAGCCAGAGCTGAAAGTGACAGCAAACCTTTTTACCACATAGTGGACATAATTTTCTGCTGCAAACTCAACTAGTTCACAATAAAATCTCTTCTTTAATCTTCTGTGATGTTGCAAAAAATCATCAGCTGCCCAGATTATATCTTATCTGTGGCTTGTATAATGAATGTTTTAATCCACTGGAGCAACAGACTAAACCATAATAATATATATTTTAGACTGAGGGTATGTTTCCTTAAAAATATATCCTATTTTAGCATGAAAATCTCAGCTTCTTAAAACAAACAATCCATAGACTACATTACTCTATATTTTGTGTGTGTTGTCAAACCTTCCAATAACATTTTAAAAAAGCACCTCAAAATACTGCTGTTGTGAAACCTACTGTAGATAATCTATGTAATCATGAACATCTGATTCTAAAAGGGAAGATTATAAAAGGCACAGAGGGCAGTTAAGCATGTAATTGTCCTCAGGAGATAATGGGAATTGAGCATGTAACTCTCATTTGTACCTCTAAAATTCTCCCCTAAAGAGAGCTGAAAGCCTGTGATTATACAGAATCCACCAAATAAATGGGAAAGACTTTTTTGGAGAATTTGCACCTTGAAAGCAACAGCTCCTTAAGAAGTATCACTCAAACGAGAATAGCAAAGGTATGTAGATTTGGCCTCATGGGAATAATTCCTTGACTGCTTTCCTGCCCTTTCTGTCCTTAATATCACCACTCATAAGCAGTGGTCTGTGTCAGAGGAGTTCGGGAACTTTCCATCAGCTTCTTACACATAAAAATATTAATCATTCTGGGTGTAGTCAGCCCCCTTTTCCAGCTGATAAGTTACTTAAGTTTTGTTTTGGAATATAATGTTTCCAACAGCGACAACTAGATCTGGATCTGGTCCCTCAGCTATCTTCCCCCTGACTTGTTTGTCAGCTGCACTGCAGAGTGACTGTGCCGTTGGCTCTAGCGTGGCGGCTCTCGTGCTGTTGCTCCCAAGTGACTGGACTTTGCTCCTATCCCTAAGCAACCCTCAGCTAATACCGTGTTAGTAACAGTTGATTCTTTCTTTTTACTTGGAAAAATATTCAAGTTTTAGGTTCATCTGCACATCTCTGCAAAGGATGCATCTAAAGCTTGAATATTTTTCCAAGTAAGTGGAATTCTAGCTGTAGTCCTGTGTGGTTTTTTTTTTTCTTATGAAGATCCCCTAAATTCCAGGACTATGTCACCATGTGTGTGCAGACATTTTAAAACATTCAAATATTAGGTGTTAGGGAGAAGTGAATGAATAAAAAGCCTTATTTTGGTCTCAAAATGGTAAGCTTTACGTAAGTAATGGGAGGCTAAAACTATGAATCACATACGGTATGACTATGAAATATGAATTTTTTCGTGAGGCAGAACTGTCTTGTAGTCTCAGACACCGACCAACAGTCCCCTGAATGAGGCACTATCTATTTTTTGTTTTGCATACATATATAGTTTATTGAAATCCCAAATAAAGGAAAATGTCTTGTAGGCATAACTTCTGCCCTCATTGAGAACCAATTAATTCATTGTGATTGGTTACCAAATTTGGCCTTAGAAATATGCCATGTATTTTGTCTGTATATGTTTGGCTTACGTATTTTAGCTGTGTTTACTTGACAATAAAAGCTGAAAAGTCTTCCTCTTGAACTCAGTGGAAGTATTGGCTCTGACCTCTTTTAGAAAAGAAACAGACCAAAAAAGGTGATTGTTTTCTGTCTTGAATTCTGTTATTATTTCTAACTCAAATTGTGATTCTTAACTGCCATAAATATAATTGGACTGCATGCACAATTATTCTTTTGGAGGGAGACAGCTCACAAGGTGCACAAATTAGTTACTCCTGTGAATGCTGAAGGAAATCTCAATCTAGAGAAGTCAATACACTCTGCTACTTACTGCCTATCTTTTTTAAAGTTCGATTACCCCCAGACCGTCTCCAATGTATATCACAGCAGAAACTTGGGATGTGAAATGAAACTACACAGAAGGGACTGGGCAAAAATTAAACTGCAGCAAAAAGCTGCAGTGAGTATAGGTGAAAGTTTTAAAGGTAAAATAAGAGAAGGAGACTGTAGGTGATAAAGAGGGAAGGAGGGGCTGAAAGATGTGCAAAAGGAGAACTCAGCTATTGCTTACAAAATGGAGCATTTTTTAAGGTTTCCAAATCCACATCCTTACCGAAGGGAAACCCCCAGACAGAGGACAAACAATGAAGATTGATGACAAAATCGGGGACGGTTGGGAGCTAGACCTGCTGTGGGATTGCTTCACTGCCCCCAGTCAGACTTTTCCAGTCTGCAGCAGTTGGATTCAAGGCTCTTTCGGAGCCAAAATTGCTGCTAACAGCTGGAGTGAGGCCCTTCCCCCTTTCCGCTCCTTTTGTCAACAGAATAGTCAGTCTTAAATTTATCAAATGTGGGTGAGAGGGGAAAAAAGGTTTTCACTGTTTCTAGGTTGACGTATAGATGACTAAACAGAGAGTCTTTTTTTTTATTTTTAGCAGAAAAACGTAGTAACTGATAAATAGCATCTCAGAGTTAGAAGGCGTTGAGCTCCGAGTGCCTCCCCCAGCGTGGAGCTCTGCAGATGCACCAGACTGCAGCAGTAGATTAGAAATACGGTGAAAGGTATGGTTTTGTAGAAAACCAGTTAGGCTGGGAATGAACTCAGCATTGCAGATTTCAGACAAATGTATGATACAGTGGTGTTTCTGAAGGCTGAGCGGGAAGTAATCTGTCAGTTCTTACAGCTGATGCTTAGTGAGAGAGACTGATATCCAGGTATGGAATGCAGAGGGCAGAATAAAAATAATTATTGTGCTTTAAATCACCATTTGTGATCACATTAACACCATACATTCTGCTGCCTGCTAGACAGGCCTAGGTCGGTGGGTGGGTGAGTCATTAAAAAAAAAAAAGCACTTCTTAATTATTTTGTCATTTTTTTCTTTCAATGACTCATCTATACGCTTAACACAATATTCTGGGGGAACATTCACTTTTTTCCTTAATTAATTTATAATAGGATTATTTGTTTTCAAGTTCCAAAGCTACTGGTAAAGAGATTTTAGCTCCTCTGAAGCCTTTAGAAAGCATATGACTTTCAAAGTTGAAATACGTAAATTGGGCATCAAGGTCACAGCATGGCATATACTTTTTTTTGATGGTGACTTATGCACTATTATTAAAATTAGGTTTACTCGGAGAATGCTAGTAACTGTGCAGACACGTCTTCTGTAAACATTCTATAAAATCCATTCAGAAGTTCAGTTTTGGCACGTGCATTTTCCTTGTTACAATAGTCATAAGTTCACATGTTCTGAAGTCAGAAACAAAACTTGGGATTATGCAATCTATTCCTTTGTATAACATAGCACATAGGCTCTTCCCAATTAACGTTTGGTCAAAATGAAGGCTCTTGTGCAGCCACAGCATATTTTAGAAAGACAAGCTGTCTTAATGCCAAGAGAAATAGAGCACAGGAATTACAAGCACCACCTCACCTTTGAGAAGCACCACTTCAGATCTGCAGTCTCCCACCTTCTGACTCCAGGGCATCCTCTTGCTCAGCGTGTTCAGGCTTCAGAGACCTGAAAGGCAGACATACAGTTTAGGAACAAATGTCCTAGTGCCATTTATGATCTCAGGATTTAAATTAGTGTAGAAAGCCAGTGTAGAAACCCACAGGCCAAGGAGGCCTGCACTTAAAACCAATAAATGAGTAATCCTCTCTAGTGAGTAAGGTTGCTGTGTGAGCACAGGCTAGAGGCACAGGGTTGAAGAGAAGGTTTTGCAGGGTGTACTTTTCCTCCAGGACATTCGACACATTTTGCATTATTTTCTTTACCATTTTCAAGTTCTTTCTATCTTTTTTGTACTAACACAGAACACG